GAGGGGGGCTGTTCGATGTCGAGTGGCGTCTCGAGCGTTAAGGACAGACATTCCTGGGTGATTATAGTAGGTATAAACAATCTCAACACATTCATCAATAGCGCTGCTGTAAAATTAAACGTGTGCAATGAGTATATGTTTAAGGCCACAGTGTTATTGAATGTCTAGTTTTTTGGTTTATTGGTCCTGCCTACGCAGAAGTATATCCCCGAATGTTTAATTACTCCACGTGTTTACACAGGAAAGCGTTACCGAGTCTCGTGACTCGTTTACAAAAGGGTCCTGTCACGTATTGGCAGCAGCGGTGGAGGGCGAGTATTGCTATATATGTATTAAAATTGAGTAATGAGCGGTTAATATTTAAAATCTGAACCAGGCCGTGGACCCACACTGGCCTGAAACTAAACTATATATATTTTTTTATTTTACCAGGTAAGGCCCACTCAGCTACATCTCTTTTTCAGAAGCGACCTGGCCACAAATGCTAGCCCAATGAAGTGACTTACCATATGGAAAAATACAGCAGCCAAATACTGTACTCTAAAAGCACGTTTATAAATTTGCTTTCGCCACTTAAACTTCCACCGTGAAGCAGACGGTCCCTGTAATTTACAGTTAACACCCCCGCAGTATGAGTCAGGTTGGCCGCTGAAATGCAACCGCGAACCGTTCACAACAAGCGGTGAAGGCGCTACCCCTGGGCCATGTCACGGTCCTGAATGCGTCACGCCCAACTGCGTCCACCGGGGGGGTAATGCTGGCATCCTCGCCAGGATGCGACGGATTGAAAACAAATCCCACACAAGTATATCAGAGATCGTACCTTCCAGACCCACACCATCTCACCACACTGTCCCTAAATTTCGATTTAAAGCTTTCGTGACTGCAGGGATTCATATTCTTGGTTCTTTCGGTAAAGCCACGTATAAGGGAAATACTAAAATAATCAAAATAAAACAAAATTCTCACTGTCCCTGTTCACCAAACCACACCTACCTACCACACCACATCACACTCACCACACGTGTTCACAATACCATACCTGTCCACCACACCAAACAACACCTGTTTACCAAACAGTTACGAGTGGCTAGTTAGGTAGGGCCAGTACCGGTAGACTAATACGGGTAGCGAGTTGGTTAAGTTTCGAACTATTAGTAATGGCTAGTGGGTCAGTGGGAGGGAAAGTTCTAGTGCCTGGCGATTGTTTCGGGGCAAGGCGAGTATGTGGTTGGCTCGTTGTCTGCACCCACAACCAGCTTGTCTCTTGTTGCGAGGAGGGGTTTGCGGCTTTGCTTGCCTGCTGGTCGATCCACGCTCACAGCGCCACCTCGCGACTCGGTCGCAACTCCGCGTGCGTGGCGCCAGAGGGCGCTGCACTTTCATGCAAGGATGCCCGCTCGGGTACTGTAGTAGTACTGTGTGTACTGTGTACTACAAGTCGTTACAAACTGAGCCAAGGCCTTCGACAGTGTGGCGCACAGCTGTCAACCCATACGGTTTACCCCATATTCTTTTATAGGGAAATTGAGTTTTCAGGTCAATACGGCGTGCAGCCGTTTCAATACGGGCAACGCAATTTTTTTGTCTATTTTTGTTTCTCCCTTGTGATGGGACTTTGTAGGATGGACGTTGAGATTTATAAGGGCACGGGGTGACCAATAAGGTCTGAATTGGTCTGTAATAAGGTAGTGACTGCTTAGGGGTTGACAGGTATGGTGGCGTGGGGGCCTGTCGGAAATCATGGATGTTTTTGGCAGTCCATAAACGGTAATGAACATCGCACGACAATTCTATGACGGGATGCGTGCCAGGGATCTGAAGACTCCCGTCATTCAGATCCCTTCCCAGTCACCGATGGAGTCAGGGCTTCACTTCTTCGGCCGCCACATTCTCCGGCCAGGAGGAAGTGACTCGAGACTGTCTTTGTAGATGAATGTAGGTTCCAACTTAGAAGCGCAGTTCAACTATGGACCGTGTTTCCATTGCATTCGATAACGTCGGTGCCATCAAGAAGACAGGTCATGCACCAGCCTGCCCCAGGGAAGCAGTGCGTAGAACCATCACTGTGACATCCACTAGACATGTGAAAGAGAGCTTCATAGCTCATCGGATTCCTCCAGCATACATATTCTGACTGTGAAGGGGCATCTCATCGCTGACGCTTTGTTTCCTTATTTGGCAGCCAACCTCCCCAGAGCCACGCACGTGGATGTATGAACTTCTTTCGCAACGTACGCAGCGGATGACGAGGCGAGTGCCGGAATCGCCAAGGCTAGCAGCGTAGCCTTTTACAGCCTGGGGCCAACAATGCCGCAGCCAAAGGACGTCATTAGCTTTTGAACCAAGTTCACAGTCTACAGAGATGTCGCCGTCCGACGGCCTACCCTACTGCATGCCTCCGACACTTGGAACAGTACACGCCCGCCGTGCCGAGAGGCCGAATCATCATGATCACGGTGTGCTCGGGGAGGTGCTGCCTCGAGATCAAATGGCATTGAAGAGATCAAGACAGAGGTCCTCGCCACGGCAGACTCGCAAAGCATTCGCACTGGTGGGGAAAGGCACAGATCTGGTAGGGCTGGACATGTAGCCAGGAGGCCTGACAATCACCTCACAAAGACGCGTTCTCAGGTGAGGTGTGGAATGGAACGCGCCAGGGCCGCCCATAGGGAGGTACGGAGTCACCCGACGCCTTCCAACTCCACCGTGACATCGAAGCGCGAGGGACCCCCCTCAAATCGCGGGGCCCGGGGCGGTCGCCACGATTCCCCGTGCCCAAGGGACGGTTCTGGAAAGCACTTTCATGGTGGTCAAGGCGAATGCTTCCAAGGTCACCCTTTAAAGCCTCCCCCTCAAGTCCCGAGACATGGGAGCGCCTTGCAATGGGACTGCTCCACCTGACGCAGTCTCCTGCACACAAGGGCGCTTGCCACACGAGCGGAGTACGATGGAGCCTAAGTGAGGTCCGCAAATCAAGATTGGAAAATTATTCCCTCACGGTCTCAGATCGTATTTGGGACGTGCGGCAGCCGGTTCTTTCGCGCCCGGATTGGCCTCACCACCTCCGGACTCGCCACCACCACCACCACCCGAACCCTGGGTCCCGTCACGGTGCTCATCGACGAGATTGGACTGTTTACAACTGCGTACATCAGTCTACGCACAACACCGCGTGTGTGGCCTACATTGGTGCTCGCTAACAGCACTTGCCTCAAAAAACCTGTCAAGGCTATGTATAGAGGGGATCTTTGTTTAAAACACCGTGCGTGCTGTGTCACGGATTCAGCTCTCGCCCCGCTCCATCTTCACTTTAGCGCAGAGCGGCCATCTTTAATGACGTGATTCTTATACAACAGTAAACATTGACGTTGCGAGCACGAATTAACGGCGGCGAGCGATAATAGCCACATCGACGACGATTTATTTATTTTTACGAGCGAAAACAAATAAAATTAAACAATAAATAAATAAAAATGTTGTACCAAAGTAATGGGCCAACGGGCTGCGTCTTTCGCCTCACACCGACATGGGTAATGGCGGCGGCAACACCGCCGCGCTCTCTCCGTCTCTCTCCATTCTTCTTCTCCCCATCTCTCTCATTTCCCACTCTACATCGCCGCTCTCCGTGGTCGCTGCCCGCGCCGCCTCTTCTACGATGTCGCCGTCCCCGTCATCTCTCTCCTCCTCTCCCAGAGTCCCTCCCCACTGTCGCCCCATCTCTCACACCAACACCGTCTCTGTCCCCTTCTCTCTCATACCTCGCCGTGTCCCCGCGTCTCTCTTCCTTTGCCCGCCTCTCTTGCACTCACCATGCCTCTTCTCCGTCCCCTCTTTTCTTAATCTCTGTCTGTGTCATCATTTTTGCTCTCCCTCACGTAACTCATCGCCCTTTCTATTCTGTAAGTGCCGACTCTTGGCTCACCATTCCAATCTACTCACGTCTCTCTCCCATATCTCGCTAGCCTTTCCTCGACTATCTCTTCCCTCTCCATTACTCTCCCAATCTCTTCTAACGCACCCCTTCTCTCTACCCATGTCTCCCCCCCTCTCCCTACCCCCCTCTTTCTACCACCCTCTTTCTACCACCTCTTTACACCCTCCTCTCTCTACCATCTCCTTCACTCTCCCCACTCTACCATGTTCACCACCCCCCCCGTCTCTCCCCACCCCCCTCCCACCTCTCCCCACCCCCCCTCTCCTCACCCCCCCTCTCTCCCCACCCCCCCTCTCCCCCTCCTCTCTCCCCCCCCTCTCTCCCCCTCCTCTCTCCCCACCCCCCCCTCCTCTCCCCCCCCCCTCTCTCCCCCCCCTCTCTCCCCCCCCCTCTCTCCCCCCCTCTCTCTACCATCTCCTTCACTCTCCCCACCCCCCCCTCTCTCTCCCCACCCCCCCTCTCTCTCCCCACCCCCCCCTCTCTCTCCCCACCCCCCCCTCTCTCTCCCCACCCCCCCTCTCTCTCTCTCCCCACCCCCCCTCTCTCTACCATCTCCTTCACTCTCCCTTCTCTTTCCCCCCTCTCCCCACGACTCTTCCTTCTCCCTCACTTCCCTCCTCTCTCTCCGTCCCGGGTGTCCGCTCTGCGCATGCGCGCCGCGGCCCCTGCTCGGGCCTCGGGGAGCCCCCGTAGCCGGGCGCCATTTTCGCGAGCCCAGCCCGGGCCCCGCTTCCACTGACAACTCCTGCACTTATCTCCTCCTCCGCCTCTTCCTCCTCAGCTCCTCCTCATCAGCATCTCCCCACCACCTCGTCTCCACTTCTCCACCTGCTCGTCACCAACCTCCTCGTCAGTTGCTCCGCCTCATTGCAAAGCGAGCGGACACTTGAACGAGAGGGAGAAGAGAGTGCAGAGACAGTGAGAGGTCGGGAAGCTAAGCCGCCTCTTCTTTCTTTGCTGCCACACAGCTTCAATTGCTGCTGTTGATCTTCGTCAACACATCGTCAACCTTTCCTCGTCGTCCGCCTCATCCTCGTCCTCTAGGTGAGCGGAGTCCCCCAGACTCAGGGCTGTTGCCAGACGTCAACATCGCTCGCTGCAGCAACTGCAGCAGCGCTACTCAATCTCACCACTCGCTCGCTGTTATTAAACTAATTGTCATTACAAATGTGTCGCCTATCGCAGCTGTTGCTACAAATGCCCAATGTTAAGTTTTTTACGCGGCGAGAGAAAGCGAGTGTGGGTTGGTGGTGGTCGTGAGGGAAAGCGAAAGCGACAGTGACTGGGGCAGTGGCGCCAACAAGACTCGCGAGAGACGTCACTGCGACAGTGGCGATAAATCATCACAACAATAATAATACAACTCGTAATGCAACTTACTGCGATAGCACGACAGTGCGGAACAGCAGTAGCATCATTAACGCGATATCAGTGGCAATAGAACCGAGGGTAAGTTGTGTTGTAGAGGCGACGTCATCGTCAACCGCAACTCTGGGGGGCGGTTCGAGTCGGTCTCGAACGCTCCGGGCTGACCTGCATCATGCCCCCCCCCCTGTATTGTGGACGTCTTTTGAACTTCTTTCGCACCGTACGTAGTCAACCACGATCATGTCCTCGTCCCGTCGTCTCTCCAGATGTCTTGAATGCGAATGCTTCTGCCTTGTTCTCACCCAATGCCCTCTTGCTATAACCACCTCCTGTCATCCCTATCCGCCTCAGGCTCTTAATGCCTTGCCCTGTGCTGCTCTGATTTCCCCAAACAATTTCCCGTCATGCCCAATGCCTTTCCTACCTTGTCCTCCCCGTGCCTTGCTATCCCCTGTACTTGCTCTTCTTTCTGGCCTGACAGCTCCCCCCTCCACGAATGCCCTGTGCTGGTCAGCCCTGCCCTCGCCTAGCATTATCCCGCTAATTCCATGTCAGGTCCTGTAATGCATTACTGTAATACCCCACTTATCCCTCCATGTTGGTTTGACAACGCCGACCCCATTGCTTCCCTTCCCCGTCTTCCCTGAAGCCCGTGGCCGCCATGTATCGCGGTCTGTTTATGTTGCGGCTGCTGGTCGTGGTGGCGCTGGTGATTGTCCTGTTGGTTACTGGTGGTTGGTAGTAGTGGCGATTGCCATGTTAGTACCCGTGGGGGTGCTGTTGGTACTAATGCTTGTGTTGATACTGGTGATTATTATGTTGGTAGTCGTAGTGGTTCCTGGAGGTTGGTGGTCGTGGTGAAAGGTGTAGTAGTTCCGTTGTGATGGTTCCTTTGGTACTCGTGGTGGTTCTGTTGGTACCTGCGGTACTGGTGATTGTGGTGTTGGTTAATTTGGTTGTATTTAGTGTGGAGGGGCGCTGGGGCTCCAGGGTTTGGGGGGGAGGGATTCGTGTCAACACCGTTCAGACCCCGACGTTTGGTCGCTCTTCGATACCGTTGCTGCTGCCGCTGTTTCTGCTACGACAGCCGCTTGTAATCACCAGTGCTATTAATACACTCAATGTGCGCCTTACCGCACAGCTGCCTGCTCACTGATTCACACGGTTTGCCTGCAGCTCCCTTGCACAGCCAGAGATCCTGAAGGAAAAGCAGGCAGATACAGTACCCCCCCTCCTCCACCTCTTCTTCTTCACCCTCTTGCTGCTCATGCTGCCCTCCCGGGGCCAGGCTGTGGGGGCAGGTTGCACGATGGTTCTGCCCGGGCTCTGCCCCCGGGGGGTTCCTGGTCGCCTTCGTCGTAGCTGGGAAGGGAAGAAGCTCTGCTCCGAAAGGCTGATTAATGGCCGTGTTGCTGGGTGCCCTGCTAATGCGTGGGGTCGCGTTGGTGGTCTTGCTGCAGCTGTAGTAGCTGTTTTGATGCTTCTCTTCTGTTCGCCTGATTAATGGCCGCGTATCTCTGTGTGCGAGTAACGCGTGTGGCCGCCTTGGGTCTTGTTGTTGCTTCTCCCGCTGGTGGTGGTGCTGCGGTAATGGTGGTGAACGTGGTATTGGTGGTGATTGTCGTGTTTGTCGTGCTGGTGTATACGGCTGCTTGTTGTGTTGATTGTGAATGTAGTCGTGGTGGGTTGCTGGTAGTACTGCTATTGCTGCTACTAGTTATCGTGGTGATGATGCTGGTTGTAGTGTTCCTGGTGGTGGTGGCGATGCTGTTCATGGTATTGGTGGTGAATTTGGTGGCGTTAACTCGTGGTGGTGCTGGTGGGTTGCTCGTAGTTAGCACTGTTGGTAATGTATTATTGGCGCTCTGGGTGGGTTGATGGTAACGCTGCTGGTGATGCTATACGTAGCGGTGGTCGAGTCGGTGATGGTAGGGGGTTGCTGGTTGTGCTGGTGGTGAAAGTGACAGCGATACGATTGTTGCTGCTGCTGGTTGTGGGGATTTTTTTTAATGGTGTTGCTGGTGGTAGCGGTAGTTCTGTTGGTGCTGGTGGTTCTGCTCACGGTGGTTTCTTTGTTAATGGCGGTGGTGGGTTTGTTGGTGCTGGAAGTGCTGCTGGTTGTGGGTGGTGCTGCTGGGGTTTTGTTGCTGTTGATTGCGGGGGTGGCGGCTTGTTTGGTTGTTAGCCGTGTGCCACGGTGCGTTACCGAGTGTATGTCGCCTACAGTTGTATTCGTGCTCCGTGATTAGTGCGCACCGAGTGCCGTGTTCCTGATGCTGGCCCCACACAAGGCGTCTCTTTGTGCCGCCGGGAGACCAGAGTGGAGGCATTTTCTCCCTCTGGATATGTGGGGGGGGGGGGGGGGAAAGGGAGCTGCGTGAATTCTTCACGGTGCGAGGGCGACTCTCTTCGGCGTTGGCCGAGATGCCGATAAATGGGTGAGATTTTAGGATATAGTGCCCTGGAAATCTCCTCGCCATTAAATTGACCAGAACGAGTGGGGAGCGTTGACGTCACTGCGGTAAACGAGAGTAAAAGGCATTCATGGCGTTCGAATGGAAGAGTCTGGGCGAGTGCCACCAGCGAGCAAAAACCTCCCACCCCACCATTGTGGTGCGGAGAATAAAGGGGGAACGGCGTCATGTTATTGTTAAAACTCAAGGCAACATTCCTTCGTGCAGGCCGGCTGCGTGAAGCCACCGGAGCTGTGTTAACCCTTGCCCTACGTGCATGTGTGCGGCTGTTTTAACAGGTTGGTGCATGTAGGCGTCTGCAATGAGAACTGTGGCTGGCTTGCCTCAGTGTTGCAGACACAAATGCATCCAGCCCACTGATCGGAGACTCTTGTACTGGCACACGTCATGAGCATAGTAATTGCAGGAGGGCTTACCGCAGATGCCTCCGCAAGCACTACCATGGCGGCTGGATCAGAGTGAGTATCGCGTCACCCTGTGCGTGCGTGCGCGTTGCGTTTATTGCGTACGTATGGGTGAGGAAGCGTCGTGCGCTAATCCCCCTGCTCGCAGGGGCTGCGCGAGAGCAGTGACTGGGCTCTCAAGCGAAGCTTGTGGCTTTGTTGAGGAAGTCAACAAACAGGTTGGCAGGAAGGCTGGGCGCGCCTTAATCATAATGGATCAACCCCTTACAGTAATACCATGCGACAGGCTGCTTGGCTGATTAATGCCCTAAGCTTGGAAATTTCCGGAATAAAGGAAAATACGCGAGTACATCCATAGCAACGGGGGTGTTTGGAGGGGGCAGCTGCTGTGTGATTTTGAGAGCGGGGCTGTGCTTTCACAAGGCCTGCTTGATCTCTAGATGTCGGCGAGCGCTAGCAAGCGCCAGCGAGCGAGACGCACGCGTGTCGCCGCTCGACGGGCCCCGGTGAGCTGACCTGTGTGCCGTGCTGTAGGCCGGAGTCGGTAGAAGCAAGCCCCGTGGTGGAGAAGAGCAGCAGCTACCCGCATCAGTCGCACACCACCACCACCACGTCCCACCACACGTACCTGGGCCTGCCCTACGCCGTGAGTAGCATCTCTCATCAAAAAACACGTGGAGAAAAAAAACATGGAAGGCTAAAAGCATTGCTCTACATGCCTCACACATAGGTTGAAAGCGTCGTTGTGTACCATCTGAATACTGCGAGCTGCTTTCAGTTGTAACATCTAGAATATCGAAATGTTTTACTTTCAGAAAAACTCAATTCCGTTCATAACAAATGTTTTTGTGACCCAGATATCTCTTGAAAAATCAGCTGTCAACTAGTTTTAATGATAATGTCTTGTTTTCTGAAGGTGATTTTATTGCCACAAATCTGTCAAGGAGACCCTGTTTTGTAGTCAGAAAAATTGTTAAATTTGGATTAATGAAAATACTCTCAATTTTTTTTAAGTTGAATCTTAACGGTGAGTATTTTGTGTATGTTGGTCCAAGTGATTTACTAAAACAGCTGGAGTGTGGGCTGCACAGACCACTGCTGCTGCATGTTTTGAGTGAGACCAATGTTCCCGAGCGTCAGCATTCTGTGATAGCTCGCGTTTGTGCCAAGAGCCTCCTTCCGTGTGGGTCCTTGCGAGGAGTAATGGGTGCCTTGGGTTGAACTTGCGCTGTTGCCTTCTAATGCCTCTCACCGCTGTCCTTGAAGAGCGAGCCTGACCATCACGCTCATACACACATACCCTGAAAACGACCAGGAAGTTGTTAAGCCATGGCCGTGGGGCTGAGTTTGGGGGTGCGGGTGAATAGCACAGTCCACGCGCGTGGGTGTGCACGTGTTGGCTTGGAACCGAATGTTAGGGCTCCTCCCCCCACCCCCGGGCGCACAATGGCACACGCCAACTGCTCTACTTTGTACAGCGCCATTTTCCTGCTGCTCGCGCTTGTCCTCTTTAAAGGGAGCCAGTGTGCTGGAATGGGTCTCGCTTAATGTGCTGTGCCAAGGTAGGGGCTTGCCAAGCCAGTGTTTGCGTTTTTTAAGGTTGTGTAAAGGTAAGAACCTCTTAACATAAGTTATAACCGCTGTCCGGATAAGTGATCACCGTAAAATGTGCTGAGCTGGATAAAGTAGCCTCTTGTTCTGTCAGCAGCCAAGAAAAGGCTGCTGCTGCTTGTTAGTGGCTGCCACTGCTTTGTTTCGCACATCTGCTGAATGGTTTCAGTTGCTCACATCTTTTTAACTTTAAGCTCCCTCCAAACAGAGATTTTAGTTTTGGTTCATAAAAGAGGCGCAGCGCCCACGTGTTTGAGTGAAACTTGTGGCGGGGGTTGTGAAAGCGCCTGTACACGGTTATTGTTTTCATTGCAAGATGCCTTATCGTTAAACGTAAATATCTCTTGCTCTAGATCAAGGAAGCTTCTAGAACCATAATATTGGGCAGAGTATCTCTAAACATTTACTGTACAGGCCTAAGCACTGCCTACAACAGCAATGTTTTTGTGTGGCTATCGCGGTAGTCTCAGGGGTGTGGTGGTGTCATCTTAAGACAGCCTGCCTTCTTGCGTTGCCACAGTGGTTGAATGGCTGACCATGACGTGAGGCTGTAATCTAGCACTTTGCGGAGGAGAGAGTTTGTGGATTGTGCAGCTTTACAAAACCTCAACCTGCTAATGTGCATGTTGGCCAGGAGATGGCAGTACACCAAATTACTTGTCAATCAAATTTTCCAAACATCTCTTTGTAGCCGGCTCTCCATCTTTGGTGGAGTTTAAATCTGTCGCGCCGCTTGCCCTCACCGTCCTACCAGGACCACAACTATGGCGCTCCGCCTCCGCCAACGCCGCCGGCCTCCCCGCCACCTAGCGCCGGCACTCACCGGGGAGAAGTCAACGGCTTTACGGCCGCCCTGGATGACACCTCCAATGCCACTACCATCAGCGTGTCGGAGGACGGCAGCTACGGCGTTGACGTGACGCGCTGCGTGTGCGGTTTCACGCACGACGACGGATACATGATCTGCTGCGACAAGTGCAGGTGTGACTTTTGGGGGCGGGGTGTCGACATGCGGCTCTCCATCGTTCAGTGGAATAAAACAAAAACACTGCCACCAATTATTCTGACGTCGTCTCGCGAGCTGAATTTTGCCACGAATTTTTAGAGATCCGTTAGAATGAAGTCGTTGTTTTAGGCAAACGCGAGTCACGAGTGCGTGGTCAGGGCGTTGTCTGTGGTGGTAATAGATGTGGAAGGGCAGTGACGCACCAAGTTACAACATCTTGGAGAAAGGAAAATGCTTTCCTTCCAAGAGTGTGAATGTGTATAATAATTAAATCGATAAAGCGCCTTTCATCGCGGATCTCAAGTGCTGTACAAGACAGCAACAAACTCGTGTGCAAGAACATATATAGACAGTACGTAAGTACACACATCAAGTTAAAAATGCACTTCTACATAAACGCCATACTTGCCTATGACCAAATTACCCAGAATGCAGACCTTACAAGCTGCAGAGTTGAGCCTGTATACTGTTTGGATGGGTGATCGCCATGCGTTTAAGGCAGGTGCAGTTAGAATTGGGGACATTCGAGGACAGTGCAGCAAAATCCATGACACCTTCAATCCGCACTGACCAGCCTGATGAAGTATGGTGAAATAACCCTAGCAGCTTACACTCTGTGGGGGATCCTTTCATCTAGCAGTGGACTGACAAAAAATGCATGTACGGTGTGTTTTCTGTGGGTCTGACAACCTAAGAACAATTGTGCAAGAAGCCAGGTGCAGAATGTTCTAGAATCAGTAGTCTGACAGTAAGGGCTGTATGTGTGTATGCATTGTCGAAAGCCATTGTTGGGCAAGCAAATAATAGCGAAGCAGCCCAGGACCTTAAACCCCTCCCCACCTTAGTCCAAAATGCAACCTCTATCATCATGTACTAAACACACACACAAAGTACACAAATACATACACAAATGTCACACACACAGATTATATGGGGGTGGGGGAAGGAACTGTTCCTTTTGCCCACCCGGCTGCACGTCTGTAGAGGGGTGACCCTGTGCTTCCATTCCTTGCAGCGTGTGGCAGCACATCGACTGCATGGGGATCGATCGGCAGAGGATACCCGACACCTACCTGTGCGAGTTCTGCGAGCCCAGGTGAGCCACTCCTCCACCGTAGTGGCCGAACTGGGTGCGAGCGGTTGGACCGTGACTCTCAAATGGAATAAAACAAAACCCGCAGCAAACGCACGACAAACAGAGACTGGCATACATATCGGCAGCATCGCAGGGGTTGCTTAGCAATGAGCTCATTCCTTTAGGCGAACCCTTGTCACACTGGCAGGCTTTCCTCCTCGTGGTGGGTGCCGCGCGTGTATTCTGAGCGTCGGCCAGGAAAGTGTGGGTGGCGGTGCCAGAAACCACGACTACTGTGGTTGTGCTCAGGATTGGGTGCGGCTGAGGGAAGCGCCCTGGACCGGGCCTCGCATTTGGCTTTGGCCTCGAGCCACCGAGGAAACCCAACTCCAGGAAATGCGTGCTTCCAGCCAATGGCTGCTGTCCACTGTTTGTCGGCAGAGTTTATGCAACAACACGTAATGCAGGCCCGAAATAAATTGGAAGCCTTCGTCTGCATTTCCTCTTGACGGCTTTTGTTGCGGCGCTGGCAGGTACATACCACTAACAGACAAACTGGAAAGCACTGCTTTTGTTTGAGATACATTTTGCAGTTTCATGAAAATAAAATTCTGGTCGTGGTGTAGCGGGTGTGGTTCTAGAAGACTAGGGGTGTCATCCAAACTATCACAAACCGAGCCTTTGATTAAAAATTAACATTTAAACATCTGATTTATTAAAATGGAACCGCTACACTGAGATTGCTTTAAAATAGCAACAATATCGACGAATTGGGAAAGGATATGTTCAATCACTTGTGATTCACAGCAATGTTCTCTTAAATGGGATGGAAAGGCGTCTGCTAAAACGGAGAAAGTATAACCATCTCCGTTTAACTGGCAAAATAGCCATTGTGAACATCGATTGGAAATTATGAAAACCTTGAATAAGGAATGTTACCAATATGGGGTAAATAATAATGAGCAGACGCCATATCACATTCTATACAAAAGCCATCATTGTGAAAGGCGGACTCAACAGGAAAACACGAGAGAATGTATAGATCTAAGACCGCTATTGAGGGTGGACTGGGATCAAAATGATGAAGAGGTGAGTGAGAGCAGCGTGGAGTGCTTTTAGGAAATTAAATTTGAAATTGAAACGTGACATACCAATGTGCCTTAGAAGATAGTTTTTTTTCCAATCGGTGCATAATGCCGGCCTCTGAATAAATGGATTTGAAACATGGAGACTGACAAAGAAAATGGAACAAATTGAAAAGTACGCAAATAAGCACGGACAGGTGCATGCTTGGAATCGCACGGAGAAACAGAAAAGGGGAACGTATGTATGTTGAACTTCTTTCGCACCGTGCGTAGCCAACCGTGATAATCGGATCATAGAACAAGAAACATTGGCGGTTAAGAAAAGCGGGCTTGGGCTGATCACCTCAAGAAGGAATGATGGTCGATGAAGGAATGGCAGCGAGAGGACGAACACCGCTGAGATGGAGAAAAGGGTTGGCTCGCAAACACCCACTGGATTTATTGTAGCATCCATGAGATCATGAGTGATGGCAACAAAGTGGGTAGGTGTTCATCCAGCAGTGGATAGAGCATGGTTGATGGTGATGATGAGGGGGGAGTCTGTGCAAACTGATGTTGTTGCGTGTTCCCTGCAGGAGCGTGGACCAGGAGAGGGCCTTCCAGCTGCAGAGCCGGCGCCGCGGTACCATCTCTGGTGAGTGTCCTCGCACGTGTATCCTCCTCAACCTTTGCATGGCAGTGGTGGGGGCTAGGGGGTCCCTTTCTCAATACTGCCACAGACTCTCCTGTGCTTGCACACGAGACAGATTTGGAAAACCAGACGGGAGTCCACAATTGCCAGTTAATACAGAGACAGAAATAAAAATAATACGCACAAATGACGGAAAATCATTGCGGACACGTGCTGGCACACTTGCCAACCGAACAGTTATTTGGTAGTAGGCTGCTGGTTTCTGAACGCTTTTTACTGCTTGCTTAATTTCAAAGCATAAATTACATTAAAAATATATGTATAAACGTCACGATTAACTTTGAAAATTGGTATGCTGTAAATGGGTTTGCAAATCGCCAGACTACCGCTTAAGGGAGTGGCAAGTATTCAGCAGTAAACAGAGCAACCATACACGTAAACTTATTGCTTTATAGCCCACGTGGCAGACGCAGGTCACCTTGGGAAAGTTACTGCCTCAGAAGTGGAAACCCAGGCTCAGCCACCTGAATACGCCTCACGGAAACCCCACACGGCCCATTAGTGCGGAGCAGTCTGAGTACACACGGGAAGGGCGGTTCGGCCTTCTCTTGTACCCTGGGGGCTTGTGTAAAGCGTTTGACGAATCTCAGACAAGTTATCACGTTGGTCATCCCAGTCACCACTAATCCGAGCGTGGTCCCCTGGGTTGGGCCTCGTGTTGAGCATTTCTCCTAAACATTTGCCATGAACTACTGCAAGCAGTTTCAACTTAAGCTCCAGACCTTGGCCATAGGTTGAGAGAAAATATGCTCAACACCTGGTCTCACCCAGAAGACCACACTTGGAATCCCCTCTCATGTTGTTTATATTGTTAAGTACCATGTGTTGTCTACAATTATTCATTGTATTACATTGCAGTGATATTATTCCCAGTGTGGTGTACCTCTCTTATTCACTGCTGAAGACCCAATGGATTATTCCCATAGGTTCTCAAAACAGACACGTGATGATAGTTGACAAACACAAACTCACTGCTTTTGGGCTCTTCACTTCAACTCTGCCACCGAGGCCTTATCTCAGGCTTTTGCAGGCATTCTGTAGTGTGGACACCGATGATTCCCAGAATTCTATGCCTGCCACCCCCTCTTTAAATACAGTTTTGGGTGGAACGCCTCAGCCAATGAGATGCCACATTGCGGTACACATGTGCCCCTATCAATTTCCTTTTCAGCCAGTTGCTTGTTCATGGACATTGGGAAACCAGTTCTTCACGAATAGTTGCTCGATCTCATCAAAGGAAATAATGCAGGTGTATCCACCACCCAATCATCAGGTGCTTAAATTTTGTACTCTACGGCTATTAAGGTTGGCAGAGTGGCGAGCGCACTGCGCCAAGAGCTTAGCGACTTGAGAATAATTCCTGGCAATGGCTATCACCTGTGGCGAGTGACACCCAGACCGGTTCTCAGTCTCCCCCACTTCACCAATATGCTATTACCAGCGTGGTGAAGTATGGTAAAATAATTCCTACGACTGACGCGCGCAGCTTGCCATCAAGCAGCAAAGCTGAGTTGTGTGTCTCGCAAATTCAGTGCCTGATATCGTGCATTAACAACATGAGCAGCTGGATGACATCAAACTGTTTGAAGCTGAACTCTGACAAGACTGACTTCATCACACTCGCTGCCATCAGCTTGTTTGGATCAACTGAGTCCATTCGCCTGTGGCTGTGACATTCCAGTATCGAGTGAAGTAAAGTGTCTCGGCGTCCTTACAACATTGAGCTGACGTTCACCGCTGACGTCAGGCGTTTGACCGTACGGTGCTTCTATCAACATCGACAACTGCACACCGACCGTCATAGCGCCCTCACCGTCGAGACTGTTACGATGCCTGTCCACGCATTTGTCGTCCCGTCGCGTGGGCTATTGCAACAGCAGCTTCGGCCGTGCCAGCGCCGTCTGTTAAAATCCTGCGGCTCGTCTGATTGTTTGGAAGCGGAAATTTGATCCTATGACGACCTTGAGACGAGTTACATTGGCTAACTATCGCACACAGGATTGTTAACAAACTCTGCCTACTCACCTGCAAGAGTCTGCACCAATCCGGTCCGTCCTGTTTCGCTGAGCAGCGAGTCATGCCAGCCTTACTGGACCCCAATCGACACCATCTACGATCATGGTGATCTGCTGCTGTTGTACCCGCGCGCAAGCCTTGTGCAGCGATACTGCCGGTGTAGTTTCACCGGGGTCTCCGGCCCGAAGACATGGAACCAGTTACCGACAGATGTTCGGTAGCATTCTTTGAGTCCAAGACAATTTAGCAACAGACTTAAAAAAATGTTTATATTCCAAATAAGCTTACTGTTTGTTTTCGGTGCGCATTCGCGATGGGCTGGACTCATAAGAGTGCGCGATAACAAGTGTTCAGACTTTCTAGTGGCTTGACACGGGGCTGTAAATTATAATCAATTAACTTATTACATCTATTGGGGTTTATCAACTGTACGGGTTTCCAGGTGCAGCCGTCTCCAATGAACCGTGCCTGTCGGTCCCTGTCAAGTCGTGCCCTTGGCAGATTTCTCACACAGGTACAACTGGGCACATGGTCATGTTCACCTGTCACGCACAGCAGATATAATGCCTAGCTGTTGATGCAAATCTTACATTTCAACAAGCTGTCTACATTATGAGTGTGCACCCACATAGCGAACGGGAGTAGCCATGCATTTATGGTCAGAAATGCATTATTTGCCAGTGTGGAGCATTACGATTAATAAAAAATCTGGTTCGTATATTAAATAAAATAGTTTCATCAGCTTATTGTCCCTTCAGACTTAGGTTAACGAGCAATATTCGTTTACAAGAGAACTCTAGATCCGTTTGGACTCACCAGGGACAATACGCTTGCGGAATAACAAAATGTACCATAGAGATAGAACGGAGGTGTATTTATTTATTTGTGGTCAAGAGGTCATTGCAAGCAGTGCCATTGATGCGAGCACACTTTGACGATTGCACAGTTGTAAATGTGACACTACCTCCAAGGTCCGTCTTACGTTCTCATCGCCGAACTCTGGGTGCCGCTCGAATGACCGTCTCTGTGACCTGCACTCCTCCATCCTGCCCACGGTCTCGCCCATCACAACCTCCTCTTCCAGTTTACAAATGCAATGCTTCCCTCTCACGTTCTCTCACGAAGTTCCAAGTTGCGTAGCCCAATCCTTCCATGAAATTCCATGCATCCTCTCGACAAGCAGATATTTTCAAAGGTCAGCAGCTTTTTTCTGGTAGCTTTTGGCAAAGTCCAACTCTCACTCGTGCAGCAATGCAGACATTCCTCCTGTCTCGAACGTCCCTCGTGCTTGGCGTTAAAAGTTTGCCTCTGTGCTCTTCTGTAACCCATAAAAAAAATCTGCCCTGCTAATGCAATACCATACCTACCAACCCTACACATTTAAGCTGTAGGCTGCCAATATGTAAACCCCCTTGTACCTCTCGTCAAAGATCGAATCCAAGTTTCCTTATTCAATAAATGTATACACCGGCGACGATTAGCTGTTTAAAATCCGTGTGCTTTAAACAGGTATAAACATCGGCAGCCTACCGCTTAAGTCAGTTTGGATTGGCACGTGTGTGCTTTGGGAATTGTTTTATCATTATTCCGTTTACCAAAGAGGGTCATTTATATTTGCGCGAGGCACAATATCAATAATAAATGATGACGCAATGTGCACGCACACGCACCTTGCCACGAATGTTCTTGGGTATGTGCCGACCGTCCGTGTGTGCGTTGTGGTGACGGCTTCGCAGACGGCGACACGAGTGCGACGGAGAGCGGTGACGAGGGCCTCGCCTGCCTCGCCGTGTCCTACACCGCTGTCCAGCAGACGCCCACCAGCCTCACACTCACCGCCAACCGCCTGCACCACCCGGCCGCCAAATCGTCTTCGGCCAAGGAGAAGAAGCGAAAGAAGAGCATCGAGAACAAGAAGGTGAGGCGCGCTGGCCTCCCCGAGACGCCGCGGTGCGGCGCAACAGGCCCTCCGCTTGTGTCGACGCGGTCGGTGGTGTTGCGAGTCATTCCTGGATGTGTCTCGAAGGCGATGGGGTTTTTTTAATGTTGTGTCGAGGTGGGCTCTTTTTAAAATCCAACCACGTTTAGATGTGGTCGTGAACCAATGATTAATATGGATCCTAGCACCGTGCACCATGCGTGCGCTGAATCACTTGTGTGAGATGCAATTACAGTTTGTTAATTATATTGAAATATCCCTTTAAGCCATCGTAGTCAACAAGATGTGTGTCGTTAGCCTTGTGGTTGTAGTCTCATTTTCATTACACAGTTGCTGGGCACAAAACGTCTAGCAGCCAGTAGCAAAATGGCGCTATCACAGTTGTAATTGTGTTGCGAGTTTCATAAATTGTGAAAGGTTGTAAGAACTGGGGAGGGGGGGGAGAGACGAAAGAAGAGGGAATCCAGAGTCGAACAGTGCGAAGGAAGTGGAAAAAGAAGTGTCGTGACCTGCAGCGTGGTGAGCAAGCGAGTGGTGTCATTGTGATCTGCAGCGTGGTGGTAGAGCAGAGTGTGGATAAAACGAACCCATCTTTACCTCGACATGGGTGGAGGAATCGATGAAGATCACGGTGACGGCGACCATTGCCTGGACCAGTGATGGGCAACCCAGACTATAGTCAGTGGGCCGCACAAGCAGCCCTCCTTCACCTCAGTGGGCCACAAGCTTGACGTGGTGCTTGTGCACTCATCGTGACCCCCACGCATCACCCTGGACACACTGAGACTAGGCCACCATGAGGGGCTCCACGGGACGCATGCGGCTTGTGAGCCGCATGTTATCCACCACTGGTATGGACAATTTGGTGATGTGGGGGGGGGAATATCTTGTGCGAGGTGAGTGTCTCACACGACGTGTGCACGTGTGGGTGTGTTTTAGACGTTCCGAGAGGGTGCGAGGAGATCATCCCGACTAAAGGTCAGTGCAGTGATGTCGCTTACAACCATGTCCAGCTAACTTAATGTAGAGCTTAATGATATTTGGGCGTGAAGTGCATATGAAAAGGTTGCTTCCTCAAGCAGTAACAGTAACTAAGATTTCCGTTAGCTGTGATGTACAGGAAAATCAATTGTGTCCGTTGTGACTGGGAGAACCCCCCTGAGTTTTTGCAAGAGCGAGACCCAGGGGAGAGGGGGGCAGGTATTACAACACCCATCGTACAGAAAGCCTTTGTTTAGTTTTTGCCTTCGATGGGTGTTCACAAACGAGCGGTAACAAAAAGCCGTGAGAGATGATGGCAGCCTGACTGCTAGTGAGACCCAAAAGGTCTAAACCGGTCTGTCGACTTCCTGCCACCTCTTTAAGTCCAGACTCAATAATTTCCTCTTCTGCCTATAAGTGACTCGTTGAGAAAGTATTAGTGTATATGTGTATATATGTATACGGCTCATTTTACCCCCAGATGCATATAGACCAATGTTACGGTGTTTTAAGATGCAATTGCATTCAGTCTGCAAATCCCAGCAGTAATGCACGTGTGTTTGTGTGCGCATTTGTGTTGCACAATTACAGAACTCGGGACCGGACCCGTCTGCGGGCGATGATGGGTGGTCTTGCGCTTGGGAGAGTCGCCTGGAGCTGTGGGCCGAGCAGTACGAGGAAGCGCACAGCAACCACTACAGCACAGACCTACAGGTAGCGTGACAGCCGCCGGGCTTAAATAACTCGTGAAGCATTCTCTCAACAGATGGGTCCGACGCACAATTCTCTCCTCCACGTTGCTGTCTGAAGCTGCTTTCCTCCATCAGTCCGTCCGTACATCATTCCTGTCAATGACGCAGGACGACCCAAAAAACCATCGGAGAGCGGTTGCGTGGCGACGTTGAGCGCGGGGGTTACACGGAAGGAAGCTGGGTTACATTAACGGTGAGGCTTTTGCCGCAGGGCCTCCTCGAGTCGCACGGGCGGGGTGTGGAAGGCGCCGGCGCGGACGGCGCGCACGGCCCCGCTCCTACCGCCCAGCCTCCCGGCGGCGCCCAGACGCCAGGCCATCCGGTCGACGGCAACAACAGCAGCAGCAGCACCGTCGGCAGCAACATCAACGTGTCCATCGGGCAGGCACAGGTGCGGTTGCAGCGCTGTTAAAGTTACGACCCAAAACACAAATAACCCTAATCTTGTGAATCGTGAGAAAGACTTTTAACTTCTTGATAAAGTATGTCACCATAGCACTCTGAGGACATCATGCCATTGGCACGATGGTAAAATGTGTGGGAGTGATGTCATGAAAGAAGCTTCAAGCTTATGTCATACAGTCCTGGACACACAGCCGAGATATTCTACCTTCCCATCACAATCAGAATCGCGAAACACAAGTTGTTTAATTATATATCTTTTTGGGGACGCGGGGTGGGGGGACGATATCTCTTCCTTTAACCATTACATTTTTATGAACGGAGCAAATGCGTGGATATGTGGAGTGCCGTTGTGATCCGTGTTACACATGGGTCGGTCGAGAGCGCGCCCGCAGCGAGTGTGACACGTTGCGCGCCGGTCCCGCCGACACCAGGTGGCACCGGGCCGACCCAGCCAAGGCCTCCGCAGCACCAAGGCCCTGAAGGCAGCGCGCGACCTCCCCGCCCACACGCTGCTCATCGAGTACCGCGGCATGGTGATGCTGCAGCAGCAGTTTGAAGCCAACGGCCTCTTCTTTAAAAGGTGCCGTGCAGCGACACAAAGAAGCCCTGTGTGGCCTTAGTAGACCATTGGGGCAAGTGCTGTTAGCGAGCACACGAGGGGGTGGGCGGTCGGCGACACGCCCAGCCGCCTTTGTCTCCCGAGTGAGAATGCTTACACATTGCACTAGGTACTCATTTGAAGCTGAGTCGACCCAGGGGAGGGCCCGGACCGGTTTAGTTAATCGTCACTGGTGTTGGCAATGAATGGGATTTAAACTTGGGTCACCGGGTTCGTAGCACAGTGCGCTAACAACTACGCCATCGTTCCCCAGACACGCGCACACACATGGGTGATGGTATTTGCAGGGAGGACTCTTATAAAAAAACTAATATAGGCTTTCTGTGGAGGCCCCTAGTCAATGATGGATTGCACGTTCTCTTCTGCTGCCCCAGTTGGCTGGAGGAACTACTCTCTCCAGAACATGTCTCCTCCCTGCCACAGGTTAATTCTGAGTTTCCTCTTTCAAACGGCCTATGGCTGCTGCCCCTCCCCCCCGCAGGCCGTACCCGTTCGTGCTCTTCTATTCCAAGTTCCTGGGCGTGGAGATGTGCGTGGATGCGCGCACCTTCGGCAACGAGGCTCGCTTCGTGCGGCGCTCCTGCTCCCCCAACGCGGAGGTCCGCACCGCCGCCACTCTCGCACACGACCAGCGACGGGTTGCTAAATTCATATTTCAAGGGTTATTGATGATACCTTGCAAATGAAGTTACAAACATTTTTATTTATCAGTTTACAGACTTTCACCAACCCACCAGCATGGTGAAGTATGGTCAAAGGATAATGAACGAGTGTGATGCGGTGTCCTTGCTCGGATGCAGGTGAGGCATGCGATCGAGGCCGGACTCTTCCACCTCTACATCTACTCCCTGGCCGACATCTCCAAGGGGGCTGAGATCACCATCGGGTTCGACTTCGACTACAGCGGCTGGTGAGGTGTCCCGGCTGCTTGGAGAGAGAGGGACAATCCCTGCTTGTCTGATTATGATGCCAGGATACGCGCTCCACCAAATGACACGTTGACAGCTTCGCTTCTAGCCCTTAAGGACAGGTTCTTGGTTCAAGATCCCCAAGTTTCACCCGATCTTACATTCTCGTTTGGTTCGTCATACGGCACCCACTTTTAAGTTATCGAGCAGTGGATTCTGTTTTTATCCCTTCGCCTTTTTCCCAATTTCATGAACTTCGGCAACTCTTCATATCTTATATGCCCACCACGCATCATATGTTGCTTTCTTTGAATTGTTAAAATTAAACTTGTTTCTTCCTGAGGCCCTGCTCTAGAACCTTCTCGCTAAACCTTCCCTCCGTTTGACGCTGCACCTTTGCGGGCAGAATGCAGTGTAGCAAATCTTGTACATTTATGCTCCCACATCTATGCTCACTGCCTTCACCAACTTGTATTGACCAGCATGGTAGGGTGGTCACAAAACTCCCATGACCCACACGTCTCATGAAGGCAATAAAAGGACAGTACGTGTACCAGATTTTCAGCATATATTAAAATCCTCTGGCCTATCCCTGTCACAGCTTATGTTGCCACATCCACAATCATTCGGGTGACAAATGTGCTTATTGCCGGGCGATTGGTGAACATGTGAAGCTGTTCCGTGGAGAAGCGAGCGAAAAGGCTGGGGGATTGTGGGAAGTGCGGCGCGCATGCCAACGAGTCCAACGACGTTGCCCGTTCTCTCCCCGCGCCAGCCACTACACCGTGAACTGCGCGTGCCCGCGGGAGGGCCTCGCTTGTCCCGTCGAGCGGCACAACCGCGAGATGGTGGCAGAAGGCGGCGAGCTGTTGCCGGGCTCCGGCGGCGGTGCCGCCGTCTCCGGCGCAGAAGCGCGGCGCAAGCGGCCCAAGGCGCGCGACAGAGACAGCAGCGATGTGCCCAACGCCGACTCGGACATCGAGGGCTCCAAGGACCCTGCCGCCTTCGACGGCAAAAACCGGAGGCTGTCGCCGCTACGCATCTCCACGTCCAGCGCGCAGGTGCGCACGCGCCCACGTGCCCACCCGCTCGGCTGCTTGACCGACGCGTCACCCACCATCGTCGTTCCCACACAGCAAATCCACAGCACTGTACTTGTCCATTGCAAGGCGCTACTGTGTAGTTCTGTAGGATGGTTGTAGAGCATGGGACGGCAGCCCATGGATGCTATGTCCCCGCTCACCGCTGTTGGGCGGCATAGGAGGGATAACCATTGGCTGATATCTGTCAACAGGTTTATTTGGACTCTGCCGCTAATCTAATTTGGGAATATTTAGGGGTGTGCACTTAAGTGTGGGAGGAGTGGGCGGCTAAGCCAATGTAGAATGGGAGGGCAGAGGTGATCCAAGTTGATGCCCACAGCGGGAACGGCGCACACATTTGAACACGACATAACCGAAGTTGCCTTGCGAGCGTGACTGAGTGGTACGTGCCTTCGTGGCCTGGCTCTAGCGGCTGGCAGCTCACCCCAGCTCGTGTGTTCATGCGTGTTGCAGGAGTCAGATAGATATGAGGATTTAGAAGACAAACCTGCCATTGTTAGCAGTGAAATAGAGATGGAGTCTGAGGAGCTCATTGCAGAGAGGAGGAGGAAGATGGTAAGTGTGGGCCCTGCATGGCAGGAGGCCCCGGCGTTCTCTGTGCTTGGTGCTACCGTCTGCCTGTGCTGCGCGCGCCGCTGTGTGGGCAGCTCGGCGCCTTGGGAGCGGGGGCTGCAGAAGCTTGCAAAGACACGGGCACCCTTCCCCTGCAGCAAGTCGCCATCGACAAAGCAACCTCCACACTGCTTTTAGATTTTGTGTGCGTGTCGCAACGTCTGCCAAATACACATCCCGAGCCCAATTTTTTCAGCCTTGCCTCGCGGGGGTTTCATTTGCGGTGGTCTCGAGGTCACTGCTGGACCTGGCTTATTGGGGCGCTTTGTGTATACTTGCCGTTTCCCTCTTTCTTGTGACAGTGGAACAAATTGTATTAACTAATGATTTGCCAATGAATCTTCCTCTTAAAGATCTCTGCGGGCTTAGGTGATTCTTGGGTGGTTGACTGATTTATCTCCCACATCAATTGAATGTGCCTGTCGTAACAGACGTAATGCCATCGTCACTGGTGGCGCTGATGCTGTGTTTCCATCCAAGGTTGGTTGTAGGAGATCCACGCATCTCGTACTGCAGTAATGGAACCAAATCGGCTAGTGGCCAGGCGGGCAGGATACCCGTCGTCCCCCCTTGACATCTGCCAGCGCCACTCGAGGTTTCCATTTGGTGGAGATGGGCTGCGGCAAACCCCCGAGCCCCAGGAGGTGCCCGGCTATCGAGAGAGAGCGTTGAGCACGTGAATGGACAGGCGTGGCTCGTGGCATGGCTGTGAGACCACGCCTTTCTTTCTAGTGCCGACGTGACAAGCTGCGGACTTCCCAGTCGCCAATGCCACCTTAGTGCCTCCTTCGTTGATTGGGTCTTTGGAATCGCACAGGATATGCTTAATTTAACTTGTGAGCTTTGTATAAATAAAGCTTGATTGAAATGGAATGGTGTGTCGACATCCAGGGCTGTGGCTATATTTGGCAGATGTCTTCTTGGCTTCAAGGCCCGTAGCCCGATTCCAGTATTACCAGTGACAATTTGTACAACTTAAGAGTTCAGTACCAAGTGTGGTAGTGCATTGACAACCATAGAATTCCGACTTCTGTGTCCCCAGATACTTAAAATAGACGAGTGGGCGTGGTGCGTAGCCATGTGGACACTCCAACGTAGAACAAATTCGGGTGAAATAGGAGGAAGGTGACGGGGAAACCCAAAATGCGTGGTCATGGTCAGGCCGAGCCTCGCCCTGCGGTGCCAGCGCCGACGAGTTTTGCTGTCACCGCTCAGACCCGCGAGGAGCGCAAGATGGAGGCCATCATGCAGGTGATCGCCAAGATGGAGAGGCGGGAGAAGCGGAGGGAGCAGGCGCTCGAGAGAATCAGCTGCAGCGGCGCCACCGGCAAAGCGGCGTCCGTGGACTCCAAAGGCACGGACAGCAAGGACGCCACCCCCGACACCGTGGACCCACCCACCCTCACGCTCTCCTCACCCACGCAGGTCTGTTTTTCCGTGGTGTGGCATTTAAAAAGAAACGGTTGATTTTGTAGCTGTGCGTGTGTGGAGTATGTTTAGCCTCTCGATGGCATCTGGGGTCGCCAAACATTTGAACCTCCGGCAAAAGCGTGAGGTGTGATTGGTGATGCGAGGAACGGATTGCGCTTCGCTGCACTCGCAATGGGGGGAGACTCCGTAAATTCCCCAACTTATGGAGGAGACCAGAACTAGCACAGAGATCATAGACTCGGATAGAGACTCGTAGACTCCCACAGACCCATGCGATACAATACCATGCGAGTGGTAAACCACACTTCAGTCAACAATTAGGAAACTCGTCAAGGATCTAGCCGTACCTCCCATGTGTGACAGGTGTATCGGGAGGACAAAAAGCCCAGCAGCTACGCTCACCCCTCGCCCCCTTGTAATCACGCAGTTTGATCCTTGGAGACCGCTCTATTAGCACTTGTCTAGACCCTGGGGTTATTTTAAGGTAATTTTTTAATTAACACGAGGGCTATGTCGTATATCCATGCAAGTATATGGCATCGTGTTACAGGGTACAAAGCAACAGTTGAAGTAGTTATAATGATGGATATAATCACCATTCATATTACTATCTGTAGATTTAACACTGACCACTGACAACGTTGGTCATCGCCGACCATGAAATGGGCCTTGTCTAGGCACACAATCACTGCGGCGGTGGCTGCGCTAGCAGCCGGCGGCGTGCGCCCGTGCGTGACAGTGTCTTGTGGCGGTGACACCCGCAGGACGTGGTGGTGGTGAAGGAGGAGGGCGCCGTGGCGGGAGGCGCTCCCAGGCCGGTGACAGCGGCCAAAGTGAACCGCGCGAAGCCACGGCGCAGTTTCTCGCGCAACCGCACGCACATCGGGCAGCAGCGGCGGCGCAACCGCACCACGAGCGGCTGCTCGGACCACCCCCCGCCCTCGCCGGACGTTGGGAGCGGCGGCGGCGGCGTCGAGAGCTCCCCGCTGGTGTCCCCCAGCGAGCTGCTCCCCCAAGGCCTGTCCCCCGTCGCCGCCGCCGTCGCTTCCACCGCCGCCACCGTCGTCGCCGCTGGCGCAGACAGGGCGAGCGTGGGAGAGGATCTGGGATCGGCCCCGTCGCCGGTGCCGCCCGGCTGCACCAAAGCCAATGCTCGATACCCGAAAACCAAGAAGGTAGCTCCTCGCCGGGCACCGCTCGCATCGTACTGCCAGGGCACACCTCCCACCTGTAATTCTAGTACCGTTAAGAGCAGTCCTTGAAGGGAAGCCAGGCAAGTCCTTTTGTTGAATCTAAGGACAGTGCAGGTATGGCCACGTTATCTTACCACTGGATATTGACATCTTTCCTGGCCGATAGAGGCAAGGGTTGAGAATGATGTCCTAGACTTAATGGGGTTGGGTGGTGGCGATTTTGACCTGTCAGTATTGGTGCTCTTGAACGCATCCCAAGAGGATAAGGTGAGATGGACAGTAGCAGCGCTCGACCTTGAGGGATGGCGATGGTACTTAGAGGCCTTTGTCAAGAGCAGCTGGACATTTCTGATGATGACGACGACACCGGCGGCGATGTCTCGGTGTGTTGCAGCACTTAGTGAGCGAGTGGCTGAGCGAGAAGCCGGTGGCGGTGGACGGCGCAGGCGGCGATGGCAGCGGCGGCGGCCACGGGGGCGGTGGCGAGAGCCCCTACGACGTGCCGCTGCGCATCACCACGGACCCCACGGTGCTGGCCACCACCCTCAACTCCCTGCCGGGCCTCACGCACAGCCCACAGCTCTACGCCACACCCAAGCACTACGTGCGCTTCGGTTCGCCGTTCTCCGCCACGGCTACGCCGCGCCGCAAGAGGCCCAGCCTGGACAGCAGCTTCGGCTCCTGCAAGAAGGTGGCGGCCCGCGAGAGATGACGCGCGGTTTTCGGGTGGTTTTCAGGCGCCGGCGAAAGCGGCAACGTGCGGCGAGCGCGAGGCTCGGGCGAAGGGGGGGTGACGCGTTTTGTTGTCCGGCGCCGAGGGCGGGGCGATCGGAACGGCGCACGGTGGAGCGACGCGACTACGTTGTCGTCTCTGACGTTGTTGCGCTGTGGGCGCGTGCAGCGGTGGCTGAAGCAGGCGATGGACGAGACGGCGGCGGGCTCGGACTGCGCGTCCCCCGCGGCGACGCGGGACAGCCCGGCCCACGACGGCGGCGGCGGCGACGTGACCCCAACGGGCAGCGTGTCCCCCACGGAGAGCGCCTCCTCGCTCACGGGTAACGACGCGTTCGTTCTCGCGCGCCGGCGTCCGTTCCCCGGGGGAGGCGCCCGCCTCCTGGACGCCGGCTTGAGCCCGCGCGATTGTCGCGCAGAGCTCGTCACGCCGCTCAAGAAGAGGCGACTGCGCGACGCCTTGGAGGCCAGCGTCGGGGAACCGGCCGCGCCGGGGGACGTGGCGGCGCTGCCGCTGGGATCGGCCGACACCGCCGCGGACCCCGCCGCGCCACCCGCGGGCGAGCCCTCGGAGGCGACGCCGCCGCCGCCGCCTTCGCTCGTCGCCACGATCCCCGGCAAGGCGGCGACGCCGAGCGCCATCCTTCCGGCCACGCCGCCGAGGGGCCCGCCCGGGGTCGCGTCCGCCCCCGTCACGCCCACGACGGTGAGCGCGGCGCCGGCCTTCGTGACGACGCCCCCGTGCGCCAAGGCCTCCGCCGGTCCCGCGTTCCCGGTGCCGCGAGTCGAAGGGGCGGCGGTAGAAGACGAGCCGGGCGTCCCCGCCGGGGAGGAGGTGCTCAGGAATGGCTACGGACTCGTGTGCTCGCCCGTGACGCCCGTCACGCCCAACGCCTGCGCTCCCCTCTCCGCCAGCGTCCAGTACGAGGTGAGGGCACTGGGCCCATGCGCTTCAATGTCCTCGTGCGCAAGCTGTGTGCGTTTGAAGCCACTGTCGGGTGCGCCTGCGTCATCGAACAGCAATGGATTGTCCTCTTGTTGCCCGTTTTCCGACAGAACATCTCTTCTCCTGAAAGCTCCCCCGAAGCCAAGCGATCCATCTTCTGCGGCTCTGAGGTAACGCACCCCGGGTCACGCCGTTTGTTGCAAAGGCGGAGTGTTGTGGTGAAAGAACTTGGGCACTCACCGCTCCGTTCTCACCACAGGAGCTGGGCTGCGCCGCCCCGGCAACGCCGGCCCCTGACCCCGAGGCGACTTCGGAACCGGGTGCGAGGAAGGGGTTGCAGAGGGATGACGCGGAAGAGCAGGAGCGCCCGGATTCCATCTCCGCCACGGATGCCCTCCCTCCGGAGAACTTGTTGTCTTCTCCCATGGAGTGGCGCTGCTCGCACGCCGGCACTCCGCCCAGCCCGGCGCCGATCGGCAACGCCATCCCGGGAGCCGACTCGGAGGGCCCGGGCGCGGCGGCGGGGTACCTGACGCCCGTGAAGGGCGCAGAGCTGCTGGCGCCCTTCAGCTTCTCGCCACTCAACTCGAACCTTCGCGACCTGACGCCCTCGCACCAGCTGGGCGGCGGGTTCCGTGTGGCGGCGACGGTGGGCGGCGCCGAAGCGGAGATCGCGTTTGCCGGATGCCCCGGTGCCGGCGCCGCCCCCCTGCTGGGCCTGCAGGAGCTGGAGGGTGCGTGCTCGCTGGGCGAGGGCGCCGGCGTGGACTGTGGCGCCGACCTGGCACATGAGCTCGAGCTGCAGATGGAAGCGGCGGCGTACGGCCTGTCCCCGCACAACCCCCCGCAGAAGAAGAAGGTAGCTGCTGTTCCCGGACACCGGAGTTTGAATTCGTCCGCATCACGATCCGACGAATCGTCACAATCGTTCTCTACTTGTGTTCGGCTTACGAATAGATGTAATCGATCGTCTCCTGCCCGATGCGATGTGTGTATTGCGAGCACAAGGATATCGATATTAATTTGAATCGACGCATAGGTACGTAGTCCATACACATGCATCGGGGCGTCATTGATAAATGCTTGAGAAGCCGAGATGATGGACATGTATGTTGAACTTCTTTCGCACCGCACATAGCCAACCGTTGATATTCGAAGGTGCGATTGCACGTCTTAATTTGTTTAAGCGTGAAACTGGATGGTGCCATTAAAGTAACCGTGGTTGACAATTGTAGAGGGGGGGGGTAACCAAGCTGTGCCTTTGTGTAGGTGTCCCTGCTGGAGTACCGCAAACGGCAGCGCGAGGCCAAGGAGAGCACGAGGCCCGAGGGCCCCGGCGGCTCCCCCTTGCCGTCGGAACGCGGCGCGGCCAGGGAGCCCGCGCGGCTCCCGTCTGCGCCACCGGTGCCCACCGCGGCCCACGAGACCTACGAGCCCATCAGCCCCGCCGAGCCCCCGGGCACGTCGGAGCCGCCTCTTCTCCTCCCGTCCGCCAGCCACGACGCGCCGGTGGCGCCGCCCGCCAAGTCTCACGAGAAGGAGGACGTCCGGTGGTACGAGACCCGGTCCCACCGCATCACGGCTCAAGCTTTATAGTGTGCATGTGTGTCCGCTATTGGCAGCCAGACGGACGTGGTGGCGATCGCACCATCAGCACGTGTGCCGTGTTGACCTAATACGCGCTCGCGAACGACACTTGCAGCCCAAGACGGCACGGGGATCTTTGCGTACGCCCGTATTCTGTGCGTGTGCGCGCACACGTCTTTGCCCGCTACGAGGGGATTGCGGCGCTGCTCAGGGCCGTTGTGCTCACATTGCTCTGGCTGCCACTCTCTCGCAGGATGTCCCCGACGTCCGTGGAGAGAGCACGGGAGGCGGCCGCCTCCTACCACAAGGCTCTCAAGCGAGACCACGGCGCCAGCCCCCGGCCCGACACCGCCTCCGCCGGTAACGCCTCCTAGCGCAGGAGCTGCCGCGCTCTCGGTCGCAACGGTTGATGGCGAAGCGACGCACGGACTGACGCGGTGTTTGTGACCCCCCCCGCCCTTCCAGGCGGCTCCTCTCCGGCTCCTTCACCTGGCCCGGCTCCACAGGGGGGGGGGCCCGGTGGGGGGCCCCCTCCGGCGCTCGCCACCAACACCACCCCCCGGCGCCTGCGGCTGTCGAACCCTCGCCTCCGTCTCAAGATCCCGTCTCCCTCTGCCTTCCTGGAGAACAAGCACCCGGAGGGACCAGCCACAACACACCACGGTAACACGGGCACAGCAACACAGGAATGCCGTGGTAACACAGCATGCTATGGTAAATAGGATTGTTATATTTGATTTAAAAAAAATTTGGCCATTGTTAATTTAGCACCTTCAGTGGCAGCTGCAGCACCAGTTTTCTAGACCCAGGTAAACAACGTGAATTGATTCTAACAAAGACATGATTACACACCTCACGGTAACGCAGGACACGGCAACGATCGCACAGCACGTCTTCCCCGGTGAACCCGGTGAATTCTCTGGCAAAGAGTGACCGCGGTTTGAGTCTGCGAGAGGTGTGTGGACGAGTGGTGGACAAGTGGTGAATGCGTGGTGAACGTGTTGCCTCTCCGTGCAGATTGGGAGGGAAGTGAGGAGAGCGCCGTGGAGGGAACTGGGTCTCCACGGCACAGCCCCATGCCCGCCGCCCACAGCCCCCACCGCCTTCCACCGGTACAACCGCAGTGACCACCACTACTACTGGATCTCCACGTGACCACCACCAACACCAGCCACCATCGCCACCACCAGCCACCTACTTTTCACCACCTTCCCCATCACTGGTACCACCTCCACCACTAGTCAACCTCTCCATCACCAGACACCCCCATCACCACCACTGCTACAACCGCCACCACTGCCAACACTCACTTTGTTGACTTGAAGCAGCGGACGGGAGAGAGGTGTTGAAGCGTGCGGCGTAGAGGTCGTATAGGTCAGGCTGGTGGTGGTAATGTCTACGCTGCTGCTGCAGGGCCCCCCGGCATCGCAGCCGCAGGGCGCCCCCCGGGTGCCATCTCCGCCGTCCTCGCCCGGGACGCCGCTCACGCCCACGCAGGCACCGGCACTCACGCCGCTGAAGACGGCCGCCCCCACCATCGCGCTGGCAACCCACAAGCAACCGGCGGTGCAGGCCACCAAGTCCACACCGTCGACGGCGCCAGCGGGGCACCCGTCACCCGGCCTCCCCGGCGCCGCGCTGCCCCCGGTATCGCCACTCCGAATGCCGGCTCAACAGCAGCAGCAGGCCGGCTCGTCGCCCCTCAGGCCGGCACAAGCGGGGAAGCAGAGCTCATCCGGGGCGCAACTGCACGGCACCCTGCACCAGTCTCCGGCGAGGCAGAAGTCCCTGCCGTCGTCTCCGCTCCGGGCGACGCTCGTTGTGCTGGCGCAGGGCAAGCCGGCCGCCGCGGGGCCGCCGGCCGCGCATGCCCAGGCCCCCACGACGCCGCAGAAGCAGCAGCCGGCCTCGTTCAACCCCCCGCCTCCGCCGGCGCCGCACGTGCCGCCCGCCCAGCAGCCGGCGCCCGTCGGCTGCCCCATCCCCACGCACCACGGCCAGCAGCCGCACGCCAAGTACCACGGCTACGCGCGTGCCCAGCAGGCGCAGGCGGCCGGGGCGGCGACGTTACCCCGTCTCGCGCCGTCCTTCGGCCAGCTGACGGTGGCGCCGGCGGCCGCGGTGTACCCGCCGGCGGGCAGCTTGCTTACCGCGTCGGTGGCGCATCACGCGCAGGCGGCTCCTCCGGCCGCCGCGACCGCGGGCGCGGCGGCCGCCGCGCAGACTCTTCCGCCGGCGCCCGTGCAACCGGCGCAGGCCGTGGCGCCATCGTACCTGCAGCCCGTGGCAGGCGGCACGTACGTGCAGCAGCCTACGATCTACATGGCGGCGCCGCCGCAGCAGGCCGTGCACTACCAGCCCGCGCAGCCGCCGCCGTCGCAGGCGGCGGCGGCCGTCGGCTCCTACCAGCCGCTGGCGTCCTCGCCGGCGTACCAGCCGGCGACCGGCGCGCACTACCAGATGTACCCCGCGCACCCGCCCCCGCCTCCGCCCTTCCCTCAGCCCCACCCGTCTTCGCCATACCACCAACCGGCGCCCACACCGGCCGCCGCCATAGCGTACCACCAGCCGCCGGCACCTTCCGCGGCGAGTGCCGCGTACCACGCGCCGCCGCCGCCCCCTCCCCCGCAGGTACCGGCCCCGCCCCAGGCGGCGCCCAGAACTCAGCTGACGGCCGCTTACCAGCAGAGCGCCCCGGCGACCGGCGCCTTCCACGGCCCCTCGTCCTACTACCAGCAGCACTGAGCGTGGACGGCGCCACTCGCGTGTCCGGCGCCGTCCAGGCCACACCGCACGCACTTGTAAAAATGTACAGCGTCGTTAAACATTCCAGCGTGCCCGACTGTACAAGCAACAGCAGCAGCAATCAGCACTCTCTCGTTTTGATACGTTTTTCTGTTTGAATGTTCGTTCCCGTTTTTTGCCTGTCCAGCCTGGAGACTGCCGTCACGTCGCGCGAGAAAATGTTTCCATTCGTAGCGTTTTTTACATCGTCCACCTGGGAGCCGGGAGCAGGGCCACGCCCTCCCAATGGGAAGATGTGCGCCGAACGGTCGAGTTGTGTTTGGTTAATGTTTGTATTTGAGCTTTTTAACTTTTCAAAAGGAAACTATATCTATACATCTTTGTAAATATTGTATGTTTGCATCAATGTAGCCTGTAAAAATGTAGTTTTTTATTACAACTGTATTATAACTTCCTGATAGGGATCACACTAGGATAAGTACAGTTGGTTGTGGATTTTAAAATGCAACTCATACCACACCAATAAAAGTTATTTTTGAAAGCCTCGACTCTTGCAATTTATTATCTCAGAACAAACCCATGCAAGAGAGCGGCTCTCATGCCCTGTGTACAACGTTCAAGTATTCCCCATGCAGGTATTCAAGTATCAGTATTTTACCGTCATGCAACAGCAAACAGTAACCGTTGTGAGACCGAGTGGCGCCGAGTTCCTGGACAGACGGCTTGCAGAGAAACACGACGACGAAACGCTCTCGCATCCGGAACACGTGGGGCAAAGGCTCTTGGGCGAGGGGCCACGCGCACACCCGGTGTTGCACTGCACAGTAGAGAGCGGTCAGGGAAGTAAGTCCAAACGTCACTGGTGCACTCAACCATAAAGCTACCACATTTATGCGAGGCTCAAACAGGACACAAGCACCGTCTGTCTTCCCCACCGAGTTTTACAAAGCCCTCAGTGACGAGGCCGGACCGTCAGTGGCTGTGGTTTCTGATGTAGGCCCTAGCTATTCCTCTGCCAGCCCTGCCCACAACTCGACTAGCCCCCACCCTTTTCCCACACCACGAGCGGAGAATGAGTGCAGGGGCCATTAAACACGACTCAATTTGGATATTCAATCATTTTTCTGAACAGAACAGACTTTCATAAACCTGGGGGGGATGACTCGCACGAACCAATGTCCTGAGGAGTCTCGAGCTGACCGCCTCTGAGCTTTCAGTGTGCAGTTGTAGACAGGGGGCGGCACCCCAGATGCGGGAAGCCACGATCTATTGCAGATAACGCGACCAATTTAAGCAGCAACTCGACGCCACAACCCACATCGCACAGTGGCTAGGAAGTCGGTTTGCAGATGAACACAGGAGCATCGGTTACTAGATAACAAACTTTATTTTGTAAGTCCTGAACTGCAGCATGCTCTAAAGATGGCTGCACTTTAGATTCACAACAAAAAAACGGCACACGGAATTATTACAAAAAGAGAAGAAATGTGCATGTGAGAATAACGGAAGGCGCAGGCAGGAGGCAGCTGACCAACCCACACCAAGCTCAAGCTAACAGGCCACAGGGCGTTCCTGTCGAACCACGACAGGGGCCGACGCTGCCTTCAAAACGCGTTTGATTCCGGGCGGCTCAGGTATTGCTTATTCATCTCCACTGCCGATGTTGCTACCGCAGGCTAGGGTGGGGGAGGAGGGGCTACCCCAGGAGGTTCCTGTCACTTTTGTCAGCCGCTCCCCCAAAGGGGGGGGGGGGGGGGCGGGGGTCACCGGTGCTCGAGGTTCGGGGCGCTAACGCAGTGGTCGGCAGGACCCTAACAGGCGTGCGGGGACATAGCACAGCTACGAGAAGCGGGCGAGGGAGCGCGCGTTGTGGCGGCGCCTGGTACCGCCCCACAGCAGGGTAAGGGGCGCAGCAGTTCAGCGCGAGGCCCCGCGTGTCGGTCAGCTTGCGCGGAAACACCGCGCCCGTCGGCTTTACGTCACTCAACTGACCGGCCGGCTAGTGAGATCACGCGGGGAGCAGCGGCGAGGCCGACAAACTTTTGCCGGTCCGGGCGGGCCGGCGCTAGCAGCCGAGCCACGCGTGCTTGAGGCACTGCGCGGCCGAGGTTCTCTTCTCGGGCAACACCTCCAGCATGGGCAGCAGGAAGTCGGTGAACATGGCGGCCTGCTCCAGCGGCCACTCGTACTTCTCCACGAGGACATCGAAGAGCCCCCACGGCTTCAGCTTGGTGATGTGGCGCAGATCGCCTGTGGGAGGGCCAGCGTAGACGGTGCTCGTCAATGCCGTCACGCTCGCTGCACGGCCGTTTGCGATGAGGGTCGTTAATGTCAGTTGTGTGGCGTTATCGATAATCGCAAGCAAAGAAAAGATTAAAAAAATATATACATCGAAAACGTCGAACGAGTCCAGTCCCTGTTGCGTGTGTGTACACGTGTGTGTGTGTGTGTACACGTGTGTGTGTACACGTGTGTATGTGTACACGTGTGTGTCTGTGTGCATCAGACGAGCCCTGCTGTTGGTGCCTGATGGCTGCTGCTGCTTGCCCAACCTCCGTACCGTTTGAAAGTTCACGTCTGCCAATCGACCCATTACTAAAATTGAACCGGATTTGATGATCAATTCCATGATGTGACCGTCAAACTGATATTGTTATATTCTCGGAGCTGGAATTCAGCTATCTTGAGTTCAGAACAAAAGATAAAAGTGATGGGTTTTTTCCATTGGTGACCAGGCGGAGATGACCTTGCGACTCTTTCAGTCCGTGGTCAATCACAGACGGCAGCTCCGAGCTACCCGGCCACCTCTCATTTATTTTTGTTACATTTCTCCTCGTTCGAGAACACTTCTACCACTACGACACTGCCCATCCCATCGCCTCGTCACACACTTCAAGTTGGCCATTTATCATCGTCCGCACGTTTACAGGTCAGTGAAACTCCTCCGCCTCTTTACGTAACAAACATCATCATCACTGCCATCACCGTCGTCACCGCCGTGGCCACACTCCGCACCTTGTTTGGTGAAGAATTCCTTCGAGTATTTCCCCGAGAGCGCGTACTTCCTGGGAAGCCTCCCCATCAGCTCCGTGATCAGGGCGATGTGGTCTAGGAAAGGAATACAAATTCGCCCCCACCCCGTTATGTCGAGGCACCCGGGGGGGGGGGGGGGGAGCGCCGTTCCAGCGCCAGCGGACGGTGTTCGGTGCTTCAAGTCGCCGCTGCGGCACCGGCTCTGGAAGCGCCGCTCGACGCAGGGCAACCGGGGACGACGACGCCGGCAGCGTCCCCTCAACGAGGCGCTTCATCGTTGGCGCCGCGGATGCAAACGACGGCCACGTGAGATCGCACGGCAGAAACGGCCGTCTCCCTCACCGGCGAAAAAAACCAAGAATGTGCCACAGCGCCATCTCAAATCGCGGGTTGCGTCGTAATGCCACTACCCGCTTCCATCATTCAAACTATTTAAACCATTTTTTATTTTACCAGATAAGGCCCACTGAGCTCTATAGTTGTTTTTCAGAAGCGACCTGGTCACAAATGATAGCTCAACGAAGTGACTTATCATGTCGACATTTCTAGCAGCCAAATACCATAAACGCATGTTTCTAAATGCGGAGTTTAAAACCGGAGGACCTGGAGAAAAATCCACGTGACCACACGGAGAACATGCAAACTCAAAATATACAGCAGGTTTCAGTGTCGGGATCGAATCCACGACCAGGAGAGGTAGTGAACATCTCATCACCGTGGCGCCCTCATTCATGGGCAGCATCACGGATACTCACCACGAGGCTCTGCCAACCGGGCGAGTGCGAGTGAAAGCGACCGAGCGAGAGCGAGTAAGCGAGCGTGCGAGCGAGTAAGCGAGCGTGCGAGCGCGGCCGCGTTGGAAGCGTGCGAGGCTCTGGACCCACCCTCGTCTCGGCAGTAGTCCTCCCCCGAGTGCGGCTCAAACAAGTAGTCGCCCGTTGCCAGCTCAAACGCCTGCACGGCAAACAACAAAGGGACGAACCACGAAGCGCATTACACACCGCGCAGGCAACCAACCGGTCAGACGCGTCTCGCCCACACCTTCTTCATACACGGCCAACGTGGACACGAGTGTAAAGCTGTACGGCGAGGGAGGGGATTTGGCCACGGTGATCAAGGTGTGGGGGTGAGTCCGTGAGAATGAGCCGATGGGAGCGAGGGTCATTATCACGGTTGGCTACGTACGGTGCGGAAGAAGTCCAACATACAAACACACAGGCCATGAGAGTGAGACTGTGAGAGGGTTAGGTTCTAGGAGTGGGGTAAGGCAGAAAGGTGAGGCCTTGGGTATTAGGCTGCAAGGGTGAGACCAAGGGAGTGAGGCTCGTGCATTACGACTGGGGTGACATCTTGGGTATCACGCTGAGGTTGTTACAATGGGAGTGGCTGTGACGGGGTGATGCTGCTGCAGAGGTGATGGGGCGACGCTGTGAAGATGACGGGGCGAGTCGCTCTCTCACCATGCATGCCGTGCTCCAGATGTCGGCGGCGACGCCGTAGCCGGCTCCAATCAGCACCTCCGGCGCGCGGTACTGCCGCGTCTGTATGTCCTCCGTGAAGTGTTTGTGCTGCAGGGACACATCGCACCATTGGGCCCGACATCACAATCACCATCATTGCACCGTTATGCCCACCATCACGATCGGTAAGCATTATTTTTATTCATGACGCATGTTTAGCCCAGCAAAGCCGAAGCGAGTCTCAAGACTCTTTATTCAGGAGGGTGGGTCATCATACTTTCGCACCATCTCACTCACCAAACCACAGTGCTCGTGGCACCGTATTGCCCGCCACCACCGATGCCAACCGATCTCCAGCGGCAACTATCACGAGCAGAGTAACCCACGGCTCCCTGACCCCAAGCACCCTCCACGGCCACACCAGCAGGGATGAACGCGGGAGGCGAGACGCGGTGGTGGTGCGGTGGCCACTCACCACCCAGCAAGCGTTGCCGAGATCGGCGATCTTGATGGTGAGATTCTCGGCGTTGCCGGGATCCAGCAGATTCACCACAAGGTCGGCCGAGGACGGCGGCACTGCACGCACGCACCCACGGACATGACACATGCGCATATTACAAACATGTTACACGCACAGACATCTAAACAGGCACACGTTACACAAACACGCACGTTAGACACACGCGCACGTTACACATTATACCTTACACACGCGCGCACACACAAAGCAAATACAGCACCAGGAATTGACAATTCACCCTACTATTCATACTTATTCATTTGCTTGCATTATCGTCTCACTGTCGTCCCTTTTCTATCATCTCCGTCATTGGTTGACATCAACTTGGACGACAAGGCCTCATCCTTGCAGTGCTGGTTTTTGCCACCAGGTTTTGCCAACCCCCGTCATGAACGTGTCCGGTTTGCAACAGGGCAAGTCCCGAACATCAGCACGACTTGACAACTGTAAGGGAGTTACCGTGACCCCTCGTTGCGGACAACGCGAGCGAACGCTTTCACGGCGACGCGGTGGCCCAGCGGTAGAGGT